CAGGGGCGGGTGTGGATAGAGGAAGGAAGCCCGGAGGTGCCCAAGCAGCTGGCCTTGTGAGACTGGCCTTCGTCTGGCCTCTACCCGTTGACCTTTCAGGCATGATTGGATCTACGGCTGTGAGAAGCCATCCTGTGTAGCTCGCAGGGTCACTGAGGCGCGCAAGCCATCACACCACGTCAAGGTGCGGTCTCGTCGTGATGGATACACAACGAGTACGACGTGCAGATGACCGGACAAGGAAAACGTGAATTGTAATCTATTGTGTGAATATCGTCCAGTGATTGCTACTCACACAGAACCAAATATCAACACAGCCGAGAGCACAGCTCACAAATCATAAGAGGGTCGCTATACCCCGACTGTAAGAATGAAACTCAGTCGATTTCCCCGGAAGGCAATGATGTTCTACGACTACAAATGTGGTTTAAAGCAGCAACAGCAGAATGTGGGTCGTTTGCGAGCTGCCCCTAGTGATGACAAGCATTCAAGAAGCATTGTGTGCCCAAATTTCTAGCGCATGAAGTGTGGAATCCGATACGAGTCACGAACAGCTGCAGCGGAGGCCTTCATTGAAATGGTCAAAAGGGTTACCCGCTTCGTTATGGTCGACTTGTTCTACCAACTGGTCGGGGCGCATGGCACTGTACGTGTACACCGGTTGAGAATACTTGGAGAAAATGTAACGCTTATTTTTGTGTACCAAATAAAACTATTTTACACCGGGAAACTTTTTGCTTAGCCCTCGAATGGTCTACCGAATGGAAAATAGAACGGCTGCATCAGTCATTACGGGATAAAATTAGGAGATAGTCACGCATGTCGAGTGATTGGATTTGTGAAGAGTAATCCACGATGTTTTCGTAGTGTAACGGGTATTTTACTGGTCCAAGATCCACCTTCGCTAATAACTACCGAATTTCGGAAAAGCTTCAACTTTTCCCCACTAGCGTTCACTGATTAACAATCCTAAATGAATCGCATTTGGTATACCACGCTTAAGCCTATCGGGGCCTTGTGTAGTTCACCACTTCAAGTCCCGAGGCTCAGGTTACCGGTTTTCATCACTCAACAGCAGGTTCTCGTGACTATGCGGTTTACCCCATCTGCTATTCATCACACGAAAGTGTGTAATAAAAAAATCTTAATCTGATTCGATCACTGGATATAGAACGTGACCCGCCACGTTGAACGTCTCGCCTCTGTTTTGTTAGCATTACGCAGTTCAACCAGGGATGCAGTCAAATAGAATAATTATGCTATTTCCGGCAGCTAAATCTGCTGGACGAGTCTAGGGTGAAATTTCCGTACGCATACAAAGGAGTCGGTTGGCGTTTGACAACATGAGACACGTTTGGCGACACCACAACATCTGTTTGTCGTGACGGTTTCCACGCATGCTGCGGTAGTCCGGTTGGTTTTCCTGTATGGTGCACACACATGAACAGTTCGGCTAGAAGATCAACGAGGACTCGATTTTCTCCAACTGTCTAAGCCAGAATACACGAGTTTGGTGGGAAAACCGAGCACGCAATGCGGATGTTGGGCAACCAGTGTTTAATAATCGCGGTCACAGACTAACGGAATGACTTGATTTCCATAGATCCATTTAACCAAGATGTGTAACGCATGTCAGCAGGTAGGCTTCCTCAGTGTGTGATATATATAGAGGAAAATGATGATTAGAAAAAGGCCAATAATAATCTGACAAGAGGGTATGAAAAACATTACAGAAGGGATTGGGTCGTATAGGTGGTGTTAGAACTGAAGTCCAGGATCTCCGAACCAGCCCAATCAATGAGTAGAGTCACTAGACGATACTCCTGCATTAAAATCACTTTATATGCACCATTGGTAACCTGCAGTCTGCACCTGCAACAACTCGTCAATATTTAAAGCAAGTAGCGGCAGTCAAATAATCAAAGTTGGCGAAACAGCAAACTGGAGGTCCTGAATTCGAACCCGGTCACCATTGCTCATTTATTCCATTACCATATTTCGCCCAGGCTGTTATGGCCGCAACTTCCTTCTTATAAAAATTGTTATACATTTGTTCATGCAGTAAATAAGAAGTAAAAGTTCAGGGGCAAGGGTTTGAACTCCCGACCCAAATGTTCTCTGTTCCAGTCTTGACAGGGACACAAAACGTACGCACTGCTGAAGAGTCCCAAACAGGACGAAACAGCTGTCCAGTGCTCCTTGTTGGCTATCGCAAACTCTTCCATCGCATGTAAATGCATTCAAATAGTGGGAACTTAACAATCTCCCAATGAGCGAAACTCACACTCAAGACCATCAAGAGTGCCTGGTGCCTATGAAAAACCGATTAGGCTTATCGAAACACTCACCATCTAAAAGCATTATTATTATTATTATTATTATTACAACTATTTAGGCACACATGCAAAATTGTTGAGAAAAATGAGACAAAAAATAAGACTTTGAAATATATGCCACAAAGCTGTACTCACTGATGATGAGCACCTTACTTGTAGACAGAAAAATTTTATCCACATTTCTCAGTATGAAGCGGATGAATTTCAATTTTTGATGGCATTTGTCGGGAACGATTTGTTCTTCACCTTTGCTGTTCGGCTACTCACTATTTCACCATCACGCTAGGTGATACTATCCACGGAAATTTTGTGATGAGCAAACTTATGAAAGTCAAACACCTCATCGATATCACACATCGTCCCGGAATAACACGTGCTTTACATCAATAACGCATACACTTTGATTCCCTGTCGGGACTTGAACTGTGGAAATTCAGGATGAAGATCAAAACCTTTACCCCGGAGCCACACGGCAAACAATCAACAAGCAGAACGAATGATTCGGCCATATTGTGTGTGTGTGTGTGTGGCGGAGTTGAGCGAGCGCATTGGATTGGATTGTTTACATGCACGTGGCACGGTAAATAACAAACTCAAAACGTGAAACCCGCAACCGAATACACATGACGATAACATGTAATGGCAAGGGCCTGTGAAAAATCGAATGAGCATCCAAGAAACATCTTCCGCTAAACTAACTTGCCTTAAGCACCTCTTCCGGATTTTCCGGAGTTGTCAACCGTTTGTCCGGCTCGGGGAACGGCACGTTAGAAACCAATTCGAAAAGGGACTTCAAAACGCGATCGGTCAAATCCACACGAAACAAAGGCAGACAACCATCCAAGAGAATTCTGATGGGAAATGCGTGATAAAAAATGAAGATGAATCGGTCATTACAAATCGGATGGGACGCAAACAATGGAAATTGTACGAATTCCGTGAGGATAACGTTAGCGCTTGAGCATAGGTAATATGATGTTTAATTGTATTTAGCAATTAGTTGATTTAACCTGGAAGCCGACTCGAACAGACGAAATGGTTAGCCTGTTAGGTCTATAAAGCTTCGTGTTCGGTCACAGATTACACTAATAACTGGTAAGTAGCAAAAATATCGCAAAGCTTCGCAAACGACCATCGATTTGGTAAATTTACGCGACACACCAGAGTACTCAGTAACAGGTAGCAGCATGCTTCCGCAATGAATTAAGTTTTCGGAATGAAGACAACCGATATGTGAGAGCAGATATGAATTGCTGATCATGAGCACCATGGGGGGGGGAGGGGGAACTACCAACTACAAGCGAACCAAAGACAGTAGAAGAAAATTGTATTGCCACTGATTGCCAGTGAACCGAAAAGCATATACAGGCCATTTTGTTCCCACTAGCATTTTTGATCAAATAAGCTGCGTTTTCGGGGTTAAAAATTATCTTTGAGACAAAAATGTGACACACGCAAATCACAGCTAGGACAGGTTGTACAGCATACACAAAACAATGTGGGGAATTTCCCCCCCCCCAAAAAAAAAAAACAATTGCATTTATTTCCAATCATTTTCACCCCTGACTGACCAAATGAACAGTCGAAAAACGACGATGAAAACAGGAGCACGAAAATTTGTGATTACTTTGAGGATACTAGCTGAACCGAAACAATTCACAAGTTGGGAGTGACATCGTTCTCCTGGACGTAATCAATAACGTTAGCGAACTACAAAACAAAGTTCTTGGCTGGTTTCCTTCCGGAGTAAGCAAGAACAAACAATTACAGCTGAAAGAAGTCAGAAACAGTGAGACAATAGAGGATAAGGTCTTGCTCTGATAGGCAAAGAGCAAGACAGAAAAAAAATCAGGAAGTTTGATTACCTTGGCAAATTGGCATCATTATGTAGTAAACATCGCTTTAAACTGAGACTCATGCCCAGCGGACGCAGAATGTGACTTGGAGATTGGTCCTTGGTACGAAGAATGCGCCAGTCTTCATCTAAAAGAAAAAAAGACGAAAAGCGTTACAGAGCAGTTAGAACTTTAGATGCGGGTATT